CCTTTTGTTAGGATTGAATGGCTAATTGCCGTCTTGACAACCGATCAATCACATGTTTTAGCTTGCCCGACATTAGTGACTTTTATATTTGCACGACGAGAACGTGGACTGCTACGTGTGACATCCTCTGAAAGCAATGCGACTTCCTTTTAAGGCAGTGCCTTAACAGGACCCCGGTGGGGTCACTCAATGTGACTTCCGGACCGCATGACCGTTACCAAAATCGCGGAAAAAGGGGTCAATTTCAAGCATTGTCCGCGGACAAGATATTCCTCGAAATAAAGAAAATAGGGGTGCACAGGTGTCCCCGAAATTGATAAATAGGGGTCAGGAAAAGGGAAAAGAGAAAACCGGGAAGAAAAATTCTCGGAGCCGAGTCTTGTCCTTGAAATATGGTAAAATAGGGGTAAATTTGCGAAAGTGTCCTTACAATCTTATAAATAGGGGTATTCCAAAGTACGATTTTGTCCTTGTTTTGACGTAAAAAAGGGGGTTAAATTTCACAAAATGTCCTTGAAATTGACCGCAAAAGGGGGTTAAATGCATTGGTGGTAACGGTCATATGTGTCACTCTTTGCAGGGGAGTGACCCCACCGGGAACAGGACGTCACATCTAGCAGTCCACGTTTCCGTCGTGCAAATCTAAAAGTCCCTATTGTTTGGGTCCAGCATTTCGCGGCTACGAAGAGTTGTGACACCACACTTTGTCACTCTATTATTTTGCATGCTCTAATTACCTGTATTTTATCTTCATGAATAATTATATACACTGTTTCACTACCTTGCTTACAGATCAACCTGGTTTCGCAATCACCCTAGTCATTGAATTACTTTTAGACCATTATATTTCTTATTCTGAGTCGTTTTTGAAAAGGTTATTCCCTTCTTTTAAAATCCAAAAAATCTCCATTAATAGACTATCGCAGAAACCAGATCAGTTCCTGTGACCGGTTGACCTTCATTTTTTTTTTAACACAAGCGTATATCGTAGATTACAACAACAAACAATAATAAAATAATAATAAAATAATAATAATAACAACAGTAATAAGGCAAGGTAATACAATGTAAAGAGTGGGGAGCCAACAGTCAACCAGGGTGGATCCAGCCGGGGGCAGGGAGGGAGCCCAATTCGTGAGGAAATATTTAACCGCGAAACAACCAGAATAAGCTGGGGGGGGGGGGGGGGGGGAGAGGGGGGGGGGGGGTACGGAGCACTCTTCTTTTTTGTTTGCCCTCGAAAATTTGAAAATCGCCCGTCACCAAATAAAGGTAAATTTAAAGTGTTTTTTACCTTCTTTTTTTCCCCAGGGGAGGGAGCCCCACCCTAGATCCGCCATTGGTCTCAATTGTCAACATGTATTCATGTCTATTTTGTGCTCGTGTATTACCTTTCTACGGAAGCTTAAAAGTGCCACCGAGATGACGAGATAATTCCTCGTCTTCTCGACTTTTTTGGTCCGAGAAGGCGAGAAGGCGTGATCCAGCATCTCGTCTTCTCGGCATTTTTTGGTCCAAGAAGGCGAGAAGGCGAGATTCCAAATCTCGTCTTCTCGACTTCTTGGGTGCGAGAAGGTGAAAAGGCGAGATTCTAAATCTCGTCTTCTCAACTTCTCGGGTACGACAAGGTGAGAAGGCGAGATACCAAATCTCGTCTTCTCGACTTCTTGGGTACGAGAAGGTGAGAAGGTAAGTACCAAATCTCGTCTTCTCGACTTCTCAGTTACGAGAAGGTAAGAAAACGAGATTCCAAATCTCGTCTTCTCGACTTCTCGGTTACGAGAAAGTGAGATTCCGAATCTCGTCTTCTCGACCTCTCATGTACAAGAAGGTGAGAAGGCGAGATTCTAAATCTCGTCTTCTCGACTTCTAGGGTACGAGAAGGTGAGAAAGTGGGGTTCCATTTCTCGTCTTCTCGTCTTCTCTTCTCGGGTGTGAAATCGTGAGAAGGCGTTTTTTTACCAACTCACCAAGTCGCCTTGTTTTAGATGAGAAAGCGGGAAGGCGAGATGTCCAAACTCGCCGTGGCGCCATATATAGTACGAGAAGGCGACTTGTTAGGGGGAATCCCCTGCTATTCACGAGGACCTCTTTTCATAAGGACCACTATTAATAATTTGAGAAAAAGGCCATTATTCGTAAAATTAAATACTATTAAGTAATAAACAAAATGATAATAAGATAGCGAGATATGAATAAGGGACACCCCACGGCTGTGGCTTAGGCGGGAGGGGGGGGGGGGGGACGCCACGTGCCCCCGAAAATTTATAGAAAACAATTTGAAAACAGACATTTCTGAACAATAAAGAAAAAAGACGTGCCCCAGTAATGTACGCGACCCATCTTCCCGCAGTATTCCCTAGGAACAAATACATAATACCGACATTTTTAGACCAAGTAGTTCACAGTAGTTCATAGATGGCGTAGCCTGTGTGTGTTTCACGGGGGGGGGGGGGCAGTGGCGGATCCAGGGGGGGGGGGGCCCGGGGGCCCGGCCCCCCCTTGAGAAAAAAAATCATGTAAAATCACGTGATTTTTACCTTTTTGGGGGGTTGGGCCCCCCCCCCCCTGGCGCTCAAGGGGGGGGGGGGGGGGGGGTGCAAATTGAAATTTTTTGAGGATCAAAAAAAAAAAATGTGCTCACTACCTCCCCCCCCCCCCCCCCCCCCCCCCCCCCCCCCCCCCCCCCCCCCCCCCCCCCCCCCACTGAGCGAATTTTTGGCCGGCCGCGATTTTCAAATTTTCGGGAGCAAAAAAAAAAAAAAAATTGTGCTCTGTATCTGTATATTTGTTTGGGGGATAGGGGGCTTGAACACTCTCGGACCTTAATCTTAGGTCTTTGTGTCATGTTAAGTACAAATAGGTAATGCAATCCCAATATGATTTACCGTTTGAGTTCTATAATATTTCAGATCAGGCGAAAACGCACGGGGGAGGGGGGGGGTTGGGTTTGAGTTTTTCTTATGTGTATGTTTTGTGTATGTATTTTGGGGAAAATTGCTCATCATCTCTCACCTTGCTCATCATCTTGTACCCGAGAAGTCGAGAAGACGAGATTTGTAATCTCGCCTTCTCGCCTTCTTGGACCAAAAAAGGCCAAGAAGACGAGATGCCGGATCACGCCTTCTCGGACCAAAAAGTCGAGAAGACGAGGAATGATCTCGTCATCTCGATGGCACTTTTAAGCTTCCGTATGTTTCCCTTCCTACCTACCGCAAGTGGTGGTTTGTCATTCTCTCTCTCTCTCTCTGCTTTACTTACTTACTTTCCTTTTCTCTATGTACACGACCGTAACTATTTTTGTTTAAACTAAAGGGCAATTTCAATGCCCAATTATACATCCCATAGAAATCATGTTCAGATTACGTAATATTGTCACGTTTGTTCATTTCCATAGAAGCGCAAGGCTATCAAATTGCCTTAGGTTGATTATCTGAAAGTACATGTACTTGTAGTTGTGATCGTGTTTCTCCCATTTCTGCTCTCTAGACCCCAGTCAATCTCCTCCACCCGTTCTCTCTCTCTCTCTCTCCCAATCTCTCTCTCTCTCTCTCTCTCTCTCTCTCTTTCTTTATCTCTTTATCTCTCTCCCTCTCTCTCTCTCTCTCTCTCTCTCGTTCACTCGTTCCCCATCCCACTTCACTTTCACTCTAACACAGTTTGTTCATGTTTTCTTTTCAGGCTTTACAAAACACACAATTTATAACAAAACAATGAACATATTACTTTGTTTTTATTTCATTTAATTTATTTTTTTAAAAGTCATATTTACATTAATGTACAACATTTGTAACATAAGTTTGATCAATTCTTTCAACTGAAAACCACATCGCAAACAAAATAGGGAAATGCATCAATAACATTTTGGTAACATACAATGTAACATTACAAATAAATTATTACAAATCAACAATGGGGGGTTTATCGCAATAGCCTGCTTTGGATTATTTTGTATACATGTACAGTACATGTACATATAGTCCCATCATTGTTAATAGACATGTATTTTCTCTACTTTCTGTAAACAGAAACAACATCCACTCTAAAGCCATTTCTAATGTGTCGTCTAAGGAAAATATCATGTAAAAATAGTTTTACGCATCTCCTAGGTGATGTTCTGGAATCTGGAAATTGCTCTAGAGTGGATTTTTCAACAGGTATTTGTAATCATTTTATGAGTAAAATTTATGTTTTGTTCTTCCTAGCATCTATTTAAAACAAGGAAAACTCTTTCTCTCCCTATCTCTCTCTCTCTCTCTCTCTCTGACTTTCTTTCTCTCTACATCTCTCTTTTTCTCAATCTCTGGGTCACAATCTTCTATGTCTTGTTATCATTATTTATTTATTCATTTATATGTATTTTTATTTTTAAAAGGGCAGCATTGTCAGTTACAAAACTGTTTTTCACACTGACCCTGTATCTTATACTATAGTTCTTCTTACCCTCTTATAGCAGGAATGTGACTGACCACATGAGCCATGACCAGGGGTGTCACAAAGCCTTTTTTCAATGAAAAATGATAAAAATCAGTGACAAATCTGCTGATAACCAATCAGAAGTAAAGATTTCAGTAGCTTATAAAAAAAAAATTGTCATTTGTCACTGATAATAAGTTTTTTGAAACACCCACCAGCTCAATCATGAAAATATTTGACTTCCTAACCAAGGGTACCAAGTTAGGCCCAATCCTATTTTAGGTTATGATAAATGATGTAGTTTGTATAACAGAAAATCGCTGGACATATGAAGAGTTTCATTCCAAAAGGAGCTAAATCCATGTTTGTAACTTCGGAGAAAAAAGCCATTGTTTACCAGATTTTGTACAGGCGTCTATGGAAAAGTGATATTAGAAGTTGATTTTTTTTCATAATTGCTCCAAAAATTTAAGTAAATAATTTTGTTCAAAGACGGGTACTAAAGTGAACAATGTTCTGATATCAATAACTCTATTTTCATCAAAAGTGGATTTAGCTCCTTTTGGAATTAAGCTCTTCATATGTAGATGACCTTAGCCTATTGGAACCACCAACGGTACAATGCCACGTAGATTCACTAGTGGACCGGTGAAGAGACAATGTCATGCTGCAAAACCCTATAAAGTGCAAACGAATGGAAATCGATTTCCTGCGTGGTGCATGTTGTCTGCTACATCTCGAGATTGATGGTATTCCTTAGGAGGTTGTGTCATCATTATTTGTTGTGACATGTATTCATCCTCCTAATGTCTCACAGTTCACTCTCCATGTCCTACCATTCTAATGATGCAATCCATTATGCATCAATCTTTTTCCTTGTTCATCTCAGACTCCTCCAGTTTTCTGATCTCCTCTTTGAAGTGCACAATAGCCTCCTTGCTCTGTTTCAGTCTCTCATTAAGGTCTTGGATCTCATGACGAATCTTCTTCCGAGCTGACTGCAAGGATGACACTGTCTTTCCTTCCATCTCTTCAACTGAAGATGAAAATACAAGAATTCAATATCAGTGATGGCATCTCAGAACATCTTCAAACACATTACTTCCGGTCATTTTAGACCAGAGGTAATATTATTTTGAAAAATATGTTGTGTTTTATGTCATTTAAAAGCATGTGAACTGTCAAAACAAAATGAAGTGCATAAAATATACAGTAAAGTGTTGATACCTGCACAGATGTCAATCATAACTACACACACACACACACACACACACACACAGTCAGCTTTGTGCAGCATTAAGAAATCAAGTGCTCTAAATTTAAAAAAAAAAAATTGACAATTAATATACGTTTACTATACTTTCAACTTCATAAAAAATGGAATGGCCTTCAGAATACCAAGAATTGAAAAAAGTGCCTTGACAGATTTTATGCCCTCCATTGTCCAATACTATGACATCATTTGCACCATAACTACTTGTAAAGTAAATTTCTTTCAAATTATTAAACAAGGGGTAGTTACATGTATGTCAAGAACAAAGATAAAAGGCAATTTATCTTACCTCATTTGTTTAATTCATAATCAAGAATGAGTAAATGATTAAACAAGGGGGTAGTTATTGCGAGTCAAAAATATTGTATCCTAACAAATAAGCTTAATTCATGATGAGATTTAAAATCATGGTAAGGTCAAATTTGGCTTGACTTACAATCTGTTTCATGTTTATATGATCCGAGTGTCAATGCTCTCGTTCCTGTGAGCAGTTGTTGCATCATAGCTGTAGGGTCTTGAAATATCTGAAGAAAAGGGAGAGAAAACATGGAGTGTATGACAATCACTCAACATCAACTGAGGGATCAGAAAGGTGTCTACTCTTTGTTAAAAAATGAGGTCTGTATTCTTCTAAAAATTTAAAACCCTACGCTCAGGTTAAAGGCATAAATTGGAGATGCACGGCCCTACATGTTATCAGTGTCTATGATATGGTGTAATATTGTAGCCTTAAAAAAAGCTCAGAAATCATTTTTCACCTCTTCCCAGAACTCAACCTTCTCTTCAACCCGTCATTCAAAATCGAGTTTTAACAATGAAAGTAAGTCTGAGGTCTAGATTGTGCTGTATTTTTTGCGATTTTAGATCAAGGCCAGGGTCGAGATCACCTAATAACTAAAATACGCATGTTATAGAGTTAAAGGGAGATGGTCATAAGTTTCCATGTGTAGTGAGTCATAAATTGATGACACCAGAGTGACCAGACTTGATGGAAATACCATTAGTGGGTGTGCAAGTCTCGCACACAGCAAACCTGTAGTCGCATCAAGAAATACCCCCTTGTCTCTCAGTCTTCAGGATGAGGGAAATGTAAGCTAAGGCGTTTTGGTCATAAAACTGAAGGTGATTGACGACACCTGTTATTGGGTAAACACCCTAATGGTGTTGGATGCCGCATGACAGTCCACTACAATGTGTCTTTAATACCCTTCCGTCTCTCAGAAGCCCTATTTGTCATGATGATAGAACACTTACCAATTCATCATAATGCTCTGAGAAGAGGGTCTTCTTCCCGAGAACAAGACCTGCGCTCGACTGAAACAGCTTCAGAAAGTGGTACACCGTCACCTATGATAAATAATTAAAATAATTAAAATTAATAATATGGCAATAGTGCAGCTACTAACCAAATAAACTCTACTCTGTATCTAAAGACTCACCACTTTCAGGAAATCTTTCAATAAACATGCTTTATTACCTAATCAATTGCACTATTTTACACTCTAATACCCTATTATCTTATGAACCTGCGGGTAATGGACAGCTTGGTGAGCCCAAGACATGATGTTATAACCACCTTGCAGAATGACACAGAATCATTCAGTGTAAATGTAAATATTTCTGTATACTTTCTATTTCACAACTTTAAACCATGTCAAATGTATTGTATTATTGAATGTTGAATTGTATATCTGATTTCTTGTCAAATTACTGTTCTGTTGGAAATGAAAAATAAAACTGAAAACTGAATCTGAAATGTCCTGTCTTACCTGTTTTTTAAATAAATGAATCCTTTTATGTACAAGCTATCCTATTTGTCTTTTGTTTCATTGTTTCAGTTCATGGAAATTGCAAAATAAGATTGATGATTATCACACTTACCGGTCTCTCATTGGGATCAACAAAGAAGATTTTGACAGTGATCTCAAACTCTCCCCAACCAGTTTCTGTTACTTCATATGGTGGCTTGCTGACAACTGGTGAACAAAGAAGATAAAAGTCAACGGTAATATGGTGCTTAAAATGTGAAAACATAAAATGAATTAAAAAACTAAGTTATTATAATAATTGATACTGATAGGAAGTGTAAAAACATAACATAAGGATAACAATGCTCTGACAATAAATAATATTATTTGAAGTGTAGAAACACAAACCAGTACCTTATACAAGCCAAAATAAGGATCAGTTCCTGTATCATGAAGATTCTTCCAAATGGATGTTTTAAAAGAGCAAAAGCATTAAACTAAAATAAAATATCAATATCAGAATGTGTGAATAGAAAAAAATTTAAAAAGGGAGAAGAAAAGGGGAGAAATAAAAAGGATATTGATAAACTCTCTATAATCGTTGTGCTATAAGAGGTATAAACATGTTTGTTTGCCTTTTTTTAACAAAAGCTATTGAAAGTACTATCTGTCCATTTTGAAGATATACTCCTATATTTTAGATGAATTTTTAAATGTTGATGAAAACTAGTGAGATCATTAAGCAAATATTTAAGAATGCTTTATATCATTTGGGAGAGTTAAATTTATGAGAGTAGCCAGTAAAGAAGTCATCTACAGAGAAAAACTGATTCACACTGAAACTTACCACGAAGAGGGTTCGCATAACTCTCATGTAGTTTGAACTGAATTTTCTTGACGTATGTTGATAGATCCTTGAAAAGAAAGCAAGATTTAGAGCTTAACGTAAACAATGGCAATTCACTGATTCCACATTTCTTTGGATAGGGCCAACTTGTCATACTAGCTCTTAAAGTATGATGATGCCTTCAAAATCTAGTTGGAAGGAGGTGTTTAAACTATCAATTCAATGAACAAAATGCTGTGTGTCAACTTTGTGAAACAACAAGTGAATTATGCTATTTAAGGATTTTTGTTACATTGACTCATCTTTCATCTCATGTTTCCAGATGTCTACACAATTATGTAATATTCCTTGTTTCAATAACATATAAAATCCAAATTTCATGGTAAGCATTCCTTTTTTTCCTTAACGTTTATCAGTTGGAAAAATAGGCTTAGAATATGAAGTTAAATCTGCCTGATTGAAGACTACAGTGTATCTCCACCCTACCCCCCCCCCCCCCGATTAGTTTGACTCTACCAAACAAAAGATGAAGAGACTAAAACTTAAATTACAGATATGGTATTTCAAATACAGCAAACTGCATATTTGTGCCCCTGCATTTTTCTTTATGGGGGGGGGGGGGGCACAAAACTCACTCCCCTTCCCCTCTCTACTAGAACCTCATTGTCAACTTGTTTATATTACTTGACAAAAGTATTAAGTTTTCAGGAGGAAATCATGAACAGCAGTTGTGACCCCTGCATTTTGTTCGAGGGGGGGGGGGGGTGCACATTGCTCACTGTAAGTGATTGCTACTAGAACTTGATTTTAAATTTCCTGACAAAATTATTTTATTTTATTTCCTCTGGGGCCTATGGAGGAAATCATGACCAATATTTTGTTTTTACCTCATTCTTGTATGGCTTGACATAAATGGTCCATTGATGAGTATGTCCGTCTTCCTCTCGTTTCTTTCCAAAATAGCGTGAGATGTTCCCATACACGATGGGCTTGATTATTGTAATGCCCTAGAGAGAGAAAACACAGAAATAGCAGACTAATATTGACAAAGATATAAGTAACGATCTTCATGTACATAATCAACGCAATTACATGTATATAGACATTTTAGTTGTCATTCTTTTTTCTTTTTTCAACAAGGGCTTTCTTGTGTCTCCTCCTAAAAAACCTATACTACTCGTCCGAGGTCATCTTATTCCCTTTTCCTTACTTCCTTTAGCTTTTCAACATAAACTCTTATTTTTGTTTCTGTCTTTCTACTCCTATTCTCCTTCAAACTTTAAATCTTCTTCCTATTCTCCTACTAAGAGCACTGCTGTGTAGAGTCTAGAGAAGGTAGATACTTCTTTTGCATAACTTCCAAGTTCCAACCAGGAAATATTAAGTTCATTTCCAAACCTCATGCGCTTATATTCTATTTTATTAGATAAAAACAAAGTTAAAGCAAAATCAGTTAAAATTTGTTGTCTTCCCAAGATAGACTACTACACTCTGCAATTTATTGTCCAAAATATCTGAAATTTGTGGCTTCTCTTCATGAACTATAAATTGAAATTGAAATACTTGAGGTAGATTTTATTTAAAGAATGAATGAAAGACACAAACACAGAGCAAAAACTTAGCACCAGCTAGAGGAGAGATATAACAAGAAGATTGAATATAGATCAAAAAATTGACTGTAGAGTTGACTGCATATTTCCAGTACATCAAGGCATCATTTCACAGATTATCATAAGTAAGTTTGCAAACATATGTGTAATAAAAAATGTAGGTGAATTTGTACTTATGAGAGTTTTGTGCAATGATGTCCTAGGCTCAGACAAACTGAGTTAAAGTTCAGTACAATGGGTCTGAAAACTAGAGAATACACTTCTGACTATGGCTTGCCTGCCGTGGCAGATTACCCATCTATTCAAGGATTTTACATTGTGGAAATAATTGTGTATAATATTTCAAATATCAAAAACGATAACTCAAAGAACTATAGGGCTATAGCTGAAGAATTTCTTGTCCTTTTTTGCCAGCCATACTAGTCTACTCTACCCAATAAATGACATGTAATGGCGCTGCCTATCGACTACAAAGGTATGACAGGGATATGAAACTATTGTCAATATTGAGGTATTGACAGCTAGGTCAAGGCTTCATAACTACTTTTAATTTGAAGATATGGCGTGTATGGTGTATTCAGTACTGAACATGCTGAATGAATGTCGTACACATAAAACAACTACCAGTACTGGAACAACAAGAACTGTAAGTCTATTATATATTGTTGGCATAGACTAGTTAGTGAATTTTAGAGTGCAGTGACTACAGACAGTGTAATTATGAATTGTCTGCAACCCCCCCCCCCCCCCCCCCCCCACCTGCACATACATGTACGTAGTCTGTACTGTAGCATACATGTTCATGTGTAATAATGTACCACTTATGTACGCAGCCGTACAAACACGTCACAGTCACAGTCAAGCTTCAACAACCGGTACCACATAGGGTAGAGGAGCAGAGCCAAAGGCAAACAAAGCCATGTCGCTTTGCATTGCATCGGCGCGTCGCGGAGCTGAGCTACCGCTATAGCGCGGCCAGGGCGGGCGGCGGCGCCTGGCCACGCAAGGGCTAGCCGCAAGGGGTTTGAATTGAACTTTGCTTTACGTTTAATACTCAGAGAGAGAAGTGAGGCAGAAGAATAATAATCAATTTAGCTCACCTTTATACGGCCACCAGAATCTGGGCCATATTCTGTTGGGATCTTGGATTTCATTGCGATTCCAGCAGACATATTGGTGGTTTAATTAGAATCTTCAATTCAAACACAAATAAACGAGAGCGAGCCGCTCATATTTTTTCCTTAATGATTTGCCTTATCTCAGCTCCGGTAATTACGCAAGACGAAAAGAATGAATCACATTGCGACATCGCGACACAATCTGCGAATTTAGGAAGACTAAAACACTGGATTTGAACAGTGGTCATTTATTGCAATTACCATGGGGAAGAAGCAAGGTACCTCGAGTTTAGGAAAAGGTATCTTAAAAGACAGATCAAAGAGTTCTAAATCATGCAAAGTCAACGATTCTTGGGTAAGTTCAACATGTTCAACTTGGCTCATGCATTTTGTTACAGTCCCACACGTTCATTAAGAAGTAGGCCTACCGGGATGTTCACCTTCTTCTTCTTGTTCTTCCTCCGCTTTTTCGGAGATCAGCGATCCCATGGGCCGCAAGACATATAACTAAACAGGAGCACAAGGTAAACATCAAGGTAATGGACTGATAGCAGTCGATCGCGATAGGTGCATTTTATGGACAAAGAGTAAAGTAATAGCCAGTAAACTAAATGGCAGTACAGGATCAAATGGGAGAAGAGTAGCATTGGTGAATAAACACGGATCACGGTCATCATATTGTAGTAGTTTATGATATAGACTACAAGCACGAAGCAGACTGCATTAGCAGACTACGAGTGTAGCAGAGCATAGCAGTCTACAATAGCCACCCTCACCACTAGAGGGCGCTATTCCTATTGGAAGCTTCCCTGGAATAGAGTCAACCTGAACTCTCTCTCTCATGCAACCGACACCTCAACCGAACAGACGTACCTTTACTGGAAGTTAAGGATGTCAAGCCTGATTGCCTGATACATTTCCAGTGAGTATTTCATGTCTGGTTATGGTGTCTATAAAGTAGCTCCCAAGTCTACTTCATTGGCGTCACGGACTTTTAGGACCTCGAAATGCACCGTTTTGGGGTAACTTGTTGTGTTGTTTTGTCAATTTATTTTGTCAAAACGGGGCGTGGACCTAAATTTGCCGAGTTGCGCTTTGGAGCTGTGCGGGGTTATGCCCGCTAGTTTCCTGGTGGAAACAAATTTTCCGGTTGGGGGTGGTGGGCGTTGCCTGCCCGTAGTTCCGGCCGACCATTTGTTTTAAAATGGTGAATTTTAATTTTTCTGTGCCTTTACGGGAGCGAGCGCCGTGAAGGGCTGACAGGTTCGGTGGGGGCTGGGTAGGCCCATGGCCGGATGGCTGCAGTGAAATACGGTGTTTTATATCCCGGGAGTGGATGTGTTATGTTATTTGTGGCTAGTTTACTACTAGTGTGGTGAATGTCCTGTTTTATGTATTTTGGGTGTGATGGAATGATGGTATATCATTATCAACCTGTTGGCCTAAACAGGATGAGATGGTCAGCCATGTTGAATGTTTATGGAAGCATTGTTATTGAATGGCGTGAATTAATGTGATGTGTAGAACAATGGATAATGGATGTGGGAAACATTCCAGGAATAACCGAGGGGGGATGGTTGTATATATATCCCCAGGCTGGGTTATGTTTTTCCATTCATATCCCCCCGAGCGTGAATCTTGAGGAGAATGGAATTCAAGATTCGCACACGTTCGCTGGAGGGGATAGACCAATCAGGGCGGCGGAATTTCGCCCACCCAGATCCTCCGGAGTACGTCCCCATTCGCTCACGTGTTGAGAAGTTTCAATTTCTGAACACGTGCGAGAGTTTGGGATTTCTCGGAAACAGCGGAGGATATCTGGGTGCGTGAGCGTTGCGATCTATTGTATTGACTCGACTGTCAACAACAAACAAAAGTCTTGCTCCTGCAAAATCGTAAACTCCTTCAACTTACAAGTACTTTTGGAGTTGTGAGAGGTGGGATTCTCGTGGATTGTACGGTAGGAAATCCGTTGCTTTTGCCTTTTAATCATTGCTTTTTCTCCTTTATCCCGATTTTGTCGGGCTTTTCCTTCGTTTATTTTTTGATACGTGGACTGACTGTATACGTGTGTGAGTGCTCGTGTTACCAGCAGTTCCGTCTAGGCCCACCTACCCGCTTGGTGGTAGGGGCCAGGGGCTGTGTTTTAGCCAATTATTAAATAATTAAAAATAAAGGGGGAATAGGAGACAAATAAAGCTAGTGATTATTTGTGGAACATAAGCTTTTTGGATTTGTTTAATTTGTTTTCAGAGGCGTAAAGCTTATTGAGAATAAATATAGATTGAGTGGATATCGTGGGGGTTCTGCTAGCTAGCTGCTCCCAGGAGTCCTGCTCTTGTGAAGGGGATTCTAGTCTCCTTCGCAGGATTGGTTAGGTTGATTCTATTAATTATTATATAAAATAACTGAATCAAATTGTAGGGTGTAAACAATTTCCAATTATTAAATAGTTTTTAGCAATCCTTACTCCTTAGGTTAGTTTAGGGCAAATATTTTAGATTTGTTGGTCTGTTTGTTTAGTTGGTGGAGGGAGTTGTATTTATAATTCCTTTCGCGAATTGAATAGAACCTAGAGGCTAGACTCTAGACCTCTACTAACTAGGTAAGGTTACTTGTATTGTATTACATAACTTGCTTTGGTTGGAATCTGTATTAATTGTGATGTTCTGGTGAATCTATAACTGGAATTGCTTTTGATTGTTTGTTTATCTTGGTTGACTGTTCGGTTTTAACTCCGTTGTAGGGGTGTTTTCCGGGAAACAGAAGATACCAGATAAATAGATAGCACTTTTGTGACCGTGGGTGAGGACTTGGCTCTGGGAGTTTTATCCCAGGGTAGTCGTGAGTCTTGGCGGTGCGGAGGTGGGGCAGTTGTAGTGTTGGAGGATTAGGGCATCTATTGCAGTATACAGATACAATTATAGTATTTGTTATTTTTCATATTTAGGAACTGTTTTAGAATATAAGAATAATTATAGACTTAGAGTTTAATACTAGTATTAGGGATTAAATTTAGTAGGACATTGGGTTTATTACAGTCAGTGCCGGGGTGGGTATATCTTACCCTGTCTCTGGTGTATTGCATTGGTTAGGGCGCAAGGAGGGGTGTAGCTCCTTCTTTTTATTTCATCGAACCTCTCAGGCGGGGGAGTAATAGCTCATTCTTGAGTGAAGTAGGCTCCTTGTCGATATTTTATATCGGTTCGGTGAATTGATCTAGGGCAGTAGGGGTCTGTGTTTCCTTTGTTTTGATTGTGATTGTGATTGCAATTGTGCTAAAATATCCTAGTGTGTTCTATCCAATTATTTACCTGTGGTTGTATGGGTATTAATAATTGTTGGGTAGTCTAATTAATCTTCTGGGATATATTTTATTGGTGCTAAAATATCCTAGTGTATTCTATCCAATTATTTACCTGTGCTTGTATGGGTATTAATAATTTTTGGGTAGTTTAATTACTATTTTGGGATTTATTTTATTGGTGGTTATATATCCTGGTATATTGTTCTGTTCAATAACTTCAATTATTCACCTGCGGTTGTAGGGTGTTTATAATTGCTGAATAGATCAATTAATATTCTGGGATTTATTTTATTGTTGTAGGTTTTGTCCTATTGTTGAAGGATTTAACCTAGCACTGTGGGGATATGGAGAAGGTCCCTATTAATAGTTGTACGTTTGAGGAGTTGCTGGCCATGCCCGGGGTAAGTCCTGTTCGAGCGGGGCGTATTTTAGAACTCCGGGAAAAGCATGGGGGGATTACTCCTGAGCTGTTGGAGTCCTCTGCTATGTTTGCGGATGTAGGCAATCTGCAAGGCTGGTTTGACTTCCGATCGCGTTTGGATTATGGGGGAGAGTCCCCCAGGATGCCATCTAGGGCAATATTCCAAACGGGCGATTTTTGGAGTAGCACGCTCCGGGGGAGAGGATCCGGAGAATCCGGAGGAAGAAGTCTTGGGGCACAGGTTTATCCCCATGACAGTTATCCTCCCCCGGTGAGAGAGTCGGGCGGGTTTTCCCGCGCGAATTCGTGGAGATATGAAGGTGGGGAAGATACTTCCCTACCAGGGCCGGCCCGGACTTTTCCAACCCTGCCCCCGGAAATGGGCGATGGATTCCCCCGACCGTCTTTGTCTAGAGGGGAGGGAGATTGGGGACGCAACCGAGGGAGGGCTTCTTATCAGCCACTCCCCAAATCGATCGGATTCGACGGGCGTGGGAATTGGCGCGCGTTCTTCCGAAAATTCTCCGCATTTGCGGATGCCTGCGAGTGGGATTATCCACAACGCCTAAACCAGTTGTGCTGGTGTCTGGACGGTCAGGCAAGCGAGTTTTTCGATAGGATTCAGGAGCGGGACCCCGATATGGGTTATTTCGGGGTAGTACGCCAGCTGGAGGGCCGGTTTGGATACCGGGAGCCTCCGGAGGCAACCCTGCTTGAATTTAACACTGCTAAGCAGGGTCTTACGGAATCCTTGCCTGAATGGGCAGACAAATTGCATCGGCTTGCATCCCGGGCATTTCCCGGGGTCCCAGATACTTACGTGCAGCGGCAACTGGTATTGCGTTTATGTCAGGGCTGTATCGACAGCGATGCTGGGTGTCATGCCCTTAATCAGCGCCTCTCTAACGTTGGGGAAGCAGTGGAGGCAATCCGCTGGTTCCAGCACGCGCATACGGTCATGTACGGCCGTACCTGGCAGGCCAAAGTGATGGCGACCGAATCGGGTGAGGTCAGAGGGCCCGAGGTGCGAAGGGTGGACATTGCCCCGCGACCGGCGCAGGGCACTCCTTCCACCCCTTCCCCTTCCAGACTTGAGACCCGGATGTCAGAGTTGGAGGGACGATCGGATAAGCGAATATCCGATTTAGCGAAGAGCTTTGATAACCGGATGTCTGGTTTGGTGAAAAGTTTGGATAGCCAGATATCTGGGTTGTCTACCAGTTTGGATATCCGGATATCCGGTTTGGAGAAAAACCTGGAGAAGATTGCCAAGGCTCTAGGTGGGGCGCGAGGGATTTCACAGACCCTGCCGCCCAAGACCCAGTGGGTCGGACGAGGGTCGGACGAGAAGTACCTGGTCGAGGAGCAGATGTAGTAAAGTCTGACGAGTTAGGGATGGATGAGGTCCTCCCTGCCATTTCAGGAAAAGGCTTATGTCGGCAAGCTTCTCAATATTAGTTCTGTGGCAGTTGTTTTTTCCTCTTAGGTAATTACCTCTTACCATACTGGATTACCTTATGGGTGATTTCATCTTCGAACTGATAAGTAATTTATCGTTCCTGTACTATCTGTTATACATGGTGGGGGTATGGTATGGATTTTCCCATGATTTCCAGGATAGTTGGGAATCCTGTGATATTTATGTGATCTAGTAAGAGGATTAAGACAAAAATATCTTCTTATGGCTACCATGTCCACTTCTAAGTTATCTACATGAAAGCACATAAACATTCCCTTAGTCCATGCATACTGGAGATATGATCTTCATGTACTTCAGAATGTATGGATGTATATTAGTTTAATCCTAGTTTTGTGGAATTAGTACAATTTGTCAAAATGCTTACATGTATGTGGATCTCTCCGTTGGAGTGAAACCTGTCCTACATGCTAATCATGTCGGTCATATTCATTAATCATCTTGACAAAGGGGTGAATGAGTTTATTTGGAGTATGCGTTTTACTCTATGTTTCAGTACACATCCTTTTGGCAGGCATTTTTGTAATTAGGGTAGTTTTCTGTGGAGAGTTTCTCATTCAGCTTTCTTGTAGTAGTCTTTTCCTTGGGATAGCAAAGTAAGGACTTTGCCATAGACATGTCAAAGTTGGCTGTAAGTTAGCCTCCTGCTCCATGTCCTTATCCCTGTATACATGTAGCACTGCTGCTTGTTGTAGAAATCTAGCACGGTCCATATTTATGCCTGTGTTCATGGTTTCCTCGTTCTTCAAGTGACTTAAGGGGGATGACGATAAGTATCCCTGCAATGTTTTGAGTTGGGTGACAATGTGATAGACCCCTGCAAGTGTTTGAGAGGGGTGTCGATGTGACTGACCCCTGTAATGTTTTAAGTGGGGTGTTGATGTATACTCCACATTTTCTAGCTATCAAAGTATTCCTTGACCAGCTCCCATTGGGAAGTAGGGGTAAGCGACCTCTCTTTCGGCTTTCAGGGTATTCCTTGACCAATTCCCTCTGGGATGTCGGGGTTAGTGACCCCGGTTTGTGATTATTGGGATATTTTGATGATTTGTTTAAATTTAGCAAACTGGGTATGGTTTCATCGAGGCCATTTGATTTGAACTACATCGGTTTAAATCAATTGCACATTGCTGGCACTCGTGTCACCCTTTGATTTCGTTTGCTTCCGATTTTCCTTTTTTAGAAACAAAAACTATACTGTTTGGATCACCCTTGTTTGTTTTTTTCAGTACAAAGAAAGGGGATCGGCATGATGTTTTCTATTATATTGTGTTTATAATGAAATTGCCCTTTGAGGGCGTGATGTTTTTATAATGGGATGTATAATGGGGTTGCCCTTTGTAGTTGGCAAAGGGAGGAGGGTTTTGTTCAAGGAAAGGAAAGGAAAACAGTTTTTTTCCGGAGGACAACATTGTTTTGTTTAAATTTTGTATGTTGTGATTGATGGACCTGGCTGTTACAAAAGCCGGTCTTAGCGGGTTTCAGCCACTGATTGTGGCACCCAAGTTTTTTTTTGAGGGGTTTAGGTTCTCCCTGGGATGAGTTCTTTAAAACGGGGGGGAATGTAGTAGTTTATGATATAGACTACAAGCACGAAGCAGACTGCATTAGCAGACTACGAGTGTAGCAGAGCATAGCAGTCTACAATAGCCACCCTCACCACTAGAGGGCGCTATTCCTATTGGAAGCTTCCCTGGAATAGAGTCAACCTGAACTCTCTCTCTCATGCAACCGACACCTCAACCGAACAGACGTACCTTTACTGGAAGTTAAGGATGTCAAGCCTGATTGCCTGATACATTTCCAGTGAGTATTTCATGTCTGGTTATGGTGTCTATAAAGTAGCTCCCAAGTCTACTTCAATATTGTGACGCACACAATGGGTAATCCTGGAGACATTTATTTACTTTGGAGACAAAGTCATGGCGTATCTGAAGATGAGTCGGACAGGATGCTATAAAGTGTTCAACTGTCTCATCAACACCTTTGCAGTAATTGCACAGGAGGCATAGCGGATCAGCTGCTTTCTGGATTTTGCACAATCTTGTCTGAACCAAATACGTGTTGGAGAGAAGTTGAGCCCTCAGCGAAAGAGCTTGCCGAATGATGTAAGACGGAGAATGTTGTGGATAGAGCAGATGCGGATCCAGAGGTATCTTGCCTGACCAATACTGAAGGGACGACTTGGAGAGTACACCAACAGCAGTCTTGGCATGTACAGCGTCTTTAATCTTGAACTTTATCAACCGCTTCCATTCGAGATATGAAAATGGATTGAGCATCAGACTCTCAAGATCAGGAAGATCATATCTCTGCAGTATACATCGGAGTGCTTGGATGGAAGGAGCATTCACCGCGATAGCTGCTAGAAAAGTCCGTGATTCAAACCTTCCACTGTCAAGATTGAGGACCTGACCAAGAAGGAGGAGCTTATCAAGGTCAATTTGATGAGACATCGGGATGAGGTCCGTGAGGAGGTAGACTATTTCATCTGCAGCAGTTAAGGGTACACCCATGATCTTCTTGAACAGATGAGATTGTGCTCGGTCCAGTTTAGTTACCATTGACTTGGTAAAGTTAAAGATTGATGAGCCATATAGCATTCTGGGAATGCAAAAGGTCTTCCACAAACGAGCTGACAAAATAGGAATAAGACCACCGGAGTAAGCACCAGCTCCTGATAGGGCATGGAAAGTACGTAGACCCTTCCCAATTATCTCATCAGTTGGATCCCTGCGAACACTCGACTTCTGGATTCCAAGATGGCCAAAAACAGAGGAAAGAAAAGAAAAATATGTTTAAATACAAAGCTTGTAGCCTAGGAAGTGTATGTATTGATGTGAATTATGCCAATTAACATATGACCGGTGACCAGAGTCGGAGATCGGAGATTCATTACAAATGATGATATGGCAGTAGCGGGGTCTCGGGTCTGAGAATGAGGATCGTGATCGTCCACATAAATGAGGATATCCTCGTACACTCTGACAAAATGCGTCCTCAAAAATAAGGATCGTCTGCATTTTCGCTGACTTTTTTTTCATCGACGCTCTGCGGGTTTCGGGTTACCGAACCGCCAGCTGGCAATGGGATGAATGGAATCCCCTTAAGAAAATAACTCTAGAGTAAAGGAGCCCGTAATCGGCCAGCTCCAGTTTTCGGCCGATTGGTTGGATGCAAGGTAAAATCACTCTAAAATACATCGCATAATAGCATTACACATATCCCACACATACCATACCATGCCAGTGTCACTGAAGAACCACATTTGCAATGGAAAATATATCCTAAAATATCACATTTTAGTGATGTAATCGCCGGTCCCGCTACCCAAATCTGAAAAATCGAGTATCTTACGCGTGTCTGTAAGAAATATGGGTACCATAAAATGAGCTTCATTTCAAGTATTTTTCAGATTTAAAGCCCGATTTTGTGCTAGTCGCAAGCTCAAAAGTATCTCATCGCATGTATTAAATCAATGCAGCCGCACACCGCGACGCACACACGATATCTCTGTCTAATTCAGATTCCAACTTCCGATCACCGCTGTGCCTGTCTTCGGCCAGGCGAGCACCAGGGAGCTCCGGCGTGGGATACCTGCTCCGCCCGCTTGTGCTGTACATCAGCGCGGAAACGCACGGCCCGCGCGAGCGCTTCCTATTGACTTTGTACATGCGGCCGTAAACTGAAACGCTCGGCCGATAACGGGCTCCAAAACAGTGAAAATTGAAATGAATATTGTCATGGCAATTCGTGATTTTTTTCTGGGATTCTTTTTTTGTTTAAATAATAATAATATTTGCTTCATGATTTGAACAAGAAATGATAATAAATAGGAAGTAAAGAGTCCTAAAAATAGGATTTTGTCTTAAGTGGCCGAAAACGGGCTCCTTTACTCTAGTTCACCATCTACTTTTATGGGTTCATATTTATAATCGCTCATTATCGCTCATAACATGAAAGTCTCTGTACAAAGTCAATGTAAAATGCATCAAAAAAACCATTGCAGAATCCGTTTTTCCCATCGCCAATCAAAATATGAAACGTCTGCGAAAATGCAGACGATCCTTATTTTTGAGGAATCATCTATCTGCATTTACCAAGACGATCCTCGTTTATGCAGACGATCCTTATTCTCGGACCAACGCCCTACTGATTGGCAATGATGTGAAAGACTAGTTTGGTTAACGCACCCTTTCAAGAAATATTGCCTAGATTTGGGGGGACCGTATCTTTTGATAGAGACATCAGTGAGTATATGAAATGTGTTCTTCTGAGTAGTTGATTGTTTCGATTTTCCAACCATAAAGGTAAAATCAATCCAATAGGGAAAATTGAAAAATCGTTCAGACACCCTAATATTACTCTTTGCTGTTGTTTTGTTGCAGCTTCACACAAGTGAACTGGAAGATGGATACGATTGGAACAGGATCAACCTGCGATCCGTCACTGAGCAGAGTAACCTGGAAGATTTCTTGGAGACTGCAGAGCTAGCTGGAACAGAATTCACTGCAGGTATGACTATGTTAGATTCAAGTCAGACATGCTTTGTCCACAACTAGATGTTGGATAATGTTACATTTGGAAATTGGTTTGGGTACATTTGGAGATAAGGATAAAGAATATTTAAAAAGAAAATTGAAAAGAAAACAGAAAAGTCATAGAAGTAGACTGGTGGAAGCTTGAATTAAATAGAATCAAAAATGAGAAAGTTATGACTTTTGAGTAGTCGTGATTACTATGTACGGGGACTTAAATATGGCAAAATGGGTAATGTGTCTGTAATGAAATGCTGGACTCCTTTCCAATTTGTTTCAACAAAAACAATTATAAAGACGCTAATTTCTTTCTTTCTTTAGGTATTTTGAGTATTGCCCCAAGGAAAAAGGCACTTTAATTTTTTTTAAATAGAGAAATTCATGATATTTTTGCACGTACAAAGCTCTTCAACTTTCAAAAGTGAAAAAGGTGGCTGAATTTTTGGATTGCCCTTAGAGAGGGATAAAGGTTAACCAAAAATTCTGCCACCTTTTTCACTTTTAAAAGTTGAAAAATCTTTGTATGTGCATGTTTTAACATAATCATTTTCTATTTGTGTTTATAAAACATGCTAAGCATATTGAACTGAAAGGCAATTGAAGAATAAATATTGTTGTTAATCAAATGACCCATTTACAGTTGTATCGTTGGTGATCTACCTTAACGTAAATATGTGTTTGACCTTTGACCTGCAGAAAGGTTGAATGTGAAGGTGATTGATCCCGGCCAGTACACAGGTCTACCATCAGCAAGGGAGAGCATTGAAATCACCAAAGCCCAAAAAGAAAACATTTCATTTCTGCAGATACCTAGGAGGTAGGTGCCAAGGGAAAGAGATAGAGAGAGGGGAAAAGATTTTAGACATTTTTATTTTCTGTCAATGAATGTCAAGTTTTCAATTTGTCTTAGCATTTTATTTTAAATAGGCCTTCTTTGTGATCTTTGATGGAGGGAGAGAAAGAAATATATGTTACAGGCATAGTTGAGTTCTGTTTTAAGTCCACAAATGCCGTCAAAATGCATGGATATTGCTCTTATTTTTATCTATGACATTTATAGTGCCCTTTTAGAACCTAAAATTGCTATGAAGGTAATTTTAGACCCCAAAATGTGTGAAATTTAGCCAATACGATCATACCAATTCAGCTCCACCTTCAAAAAAACAAGGTGACCTTTAATTAATTATTTTATTAAAAGTAACAATACATGAGCCAGCTAATTGTGGGTAATGTAAGCAACATGAAAATGCCAACAAAAAAGCCAACATCGGCATTTGCTAAAATACGACGTAAAACTTTTTTTCTTCAAATTTTTAAAAATATCTAATATTTGTGGTGGTCCACAAGTATTATAAATTGTTATATTTCAGCCATCTCTGAACCAATTTTGATCAAACAAAGATGATTTTGTCATTTAAATATTATGTTCTTACAAATTTGACACCCAGTTTTTCATTATCTCACAACAAAATTATTTTGTGTAGCGCCTTATGCAACAAAACTCAACTATCCCTTAAGAAGAATGTTTGACTTGAAAAATAAGAGAATTTTTAAGACAGTGTGGGAAATGCCCCCCCCCCTTTTCACCCTCGCGTCAATTTCTATCTTTCACTGTCTTTGAGATTAGCACTTGAGTCACAATGCGCTTAAAGGGGTTGTTTAACAATGTTTCCAGTGTAACAAATCTGAGATGCATGGCCCTACGTGTCATCAGTGTCTGTGATATGGTGTAATATTAAAGCCTTAACAAAAATTTGCTTAGAAAATGATCATGAAGTGCTGTAAAAAAGTAAAAATCTTTGAGTAACCGGCTTTATTTATTATTATCATTTTCCCCAATAGACACGTGTTATAAAAACGGTTTTGAGATTTCAAATTCCAGTCATAAATATCTTGATATTCAGACAGGCGATCGGCTTGTAAAAGTCATGGGATTCCTGACTGACCTAAAGATTTATAATTATGATTGCAGCATGAGCCAACTCCAGGATTTTGTTTAGAATCTGAGACAAATTTACTGGATCCCTTTAAAAAATAAATCAGCTGAACATTTTATCTTTCTGTCAATGAATGTCAAGCTTCCAATTTTTCTTTGCTTTTTATTTTAAATACCGGTAGGTCTTCTTTGTGATCTTTGTGGAAGAGAAAGAAATATATGTGAAGAAGAATGTTTAACTTGAAAAATAAGAGAATTTTGTAAGATACTGGTAGTGTTGGATATGCCCCCCCCCTTTCACTTTCACATTAATTTCTATCTTTCACTATCTTTGAGATTAGCACTTGATGATTTTTTCATTAGCACTTGTTTCACAATGCGCTTAAAATATATGCTTATTTTATTTACAGACCAAAATGGGATTCCACAACCTCCGCAGAGCAACTCAACCAGATGGAGAAAGATGCCTTCTTGGAGTGGAGGAGATCATTCTCCATGTGAGTCATGCAGATAGAGATCAAATCCAATTAACCCATCAACTTTTACAGTTTTATTTCATAGTGAATATATTGTCAAGACAGGAAGCATAACATGTGAAGGGCTTCAGACAGGGCTAGTACCTGAATCTTCATAAGACAGTATCAACATCTAACAGTCGTTGTTACTAGAAGAAAAAAGAGATAGGGGTAATGATTGTAGTAATTGTTGGTAAAGATGATGATTATGATAAAGAAAGATACAGTTAATTCTGCATAACTCAATCTCACAACTCTAATTTTCCCTAAGTCAAATATTTTTATTTTTTACCACCCTATGCAAAATATTTTATTTGCACTCCCAAACGATTTAACTTGTTCAGAATTAAGATGATAAAAGGTGATATCCACTCTGCTAATAAATTGGTTTTAATAGAAGCAGAAAAATGAGACAAATGGGTCAGTGAAAATGTAAGCAAAGCCCAATTAAAAATAAGAAAATTATGAATCGTTGAAGTTGCAATCAATCAAACACAAAGTAACATCTCCGTGAGATATCTTGCGAGCTCCCCTCTCATTTAATCTCTACATATTATTCTATAAACTTTCATTTTCTTAGTAATTGATGATGGAGTAGCCAAGTATCATACAGGGGTTTTATAACAACATATTTGCAACAATTAAATTTAGGTGACATTTCTATATTTAATATTCATTACTTTTTCCCTAACAATATTAGATAACTTTGGGAAGAAGCTAGGTTATACAAAATCCATAATAAACCTCCTTGATTCTTTCTTCTTCTTGCAGACTTCAAGAAAAGGATCACATTGTCCTCACACCATTTGAAAGAAATCTTGATTTTTGGAGGCAGCTTTGGAGAGTGATAGAGAGGAGTGATGTCATTGTTCAGATCGTAGATGCCAGGAATCCCCTCCTGTTCCGCTGCTTGGATCTGGTAAGATAACATGATTTAACCATGGACCTACTACAAATCGACTTTCGACTACGAGAGTAGTAAAACTAATGATAGCTACCACCTGTACTTTCTTCTTTGTTTTAAGCCTGACCGCAACGCTGTGGGCATATTTTGATAAGCTCCGAGCGGAGTTGCTTCACACTGATCAATGCTTCTCATTTCATGAATGAATCGAGACATGAGAGCCTTTGCCCATGCACAGTTAAAATCTACATCATGCACCCCTGTTTTAAATCTGCATTTATGTCATCTTCAAGTGCACAAATCTGTTTTTACAAATTGGATTCAGCGATTTATTTGCTTTTTAACAACTTTTGTTTGTGTGCAGCATTATCATTGTATAAGCGAGGGAAGTCACCACAAGAGCTCACAAAATACGGTTTTTAATGTGCTTTTTTTTCTCCTGTTTCCATTGATCTTTTCTGTGAAACCAATGACGGTGTGATGATCACAAATCTTTTGTGGTTTGTTGGTCATGTAAGAACAGTAGAAAGAATGGTAGTTTATTGAGAGCTCCATTAAAGCTCCATGTTTCTTTAAATTTCTTCCTACAGGAGAAATATGTCAAAGAAGTGAGCAGCAATAAGGAGAATATCGTCTTGATCAGCAAAGCTGACCTGTTGACCCAGGCACAGAGAGAGAAATGGGCCGAGTATTTTGCCAAACAGAGTATCCGAGTAGCCTTCTGGTCAGCTGTCACAGAGGCAGAGAGGTTAGAAGAGAAGGTAAAATAACTTGGAAATATGGAGGATAACAAATTACAGGAATTATTGTTTTCGTTGAAATTTTGATGATTATAAAAGTTCTACTGGGATTACTTGTAGCCACAAAGAGCAGGCTTATATTGTCCAATAATATGGAAATGGTATAAGCCCTACAAATCTATAGTAAAAAGCATGATATTGTTAAACCCATTATCCAAGTTAAAACTTGTTTCCAGTTTGTGAACTCTAAAAGAATTTCTCTAGTGTTAAGTGTAAGCTATGTGAATTTTCAAGTCTACTTTCGTACAGATGAATCAGTTATTGAATTGAACTCAATTACAGGAAGCTAGAGAGCGTGAAGCAGCAATGGAAGGTTGTGAAGATGATGATGACTCTGATGATGACTCTGAGGAAGAAGATGATGAAGATTGTGAAGATGAAGTATCACAAAGGCTTGCCCTAAATGCTGGTCTCCCCAGTAGCATGGAAGGAATGGTCGTATCAAGTGAAGAACAATCAAACACACAAACAAGCCAGTCAGGTGACTCCAGAGCAAATGAAGAAGATGAATCAGATGTTAGGAAAGAGGAAGATGCTGTATGCAGTGAAACAAGCGAGATGTCTTCAAGTCTAAGAATGGAGGAGTCGGGCATGGATGTTGCATCTTCAAGATGTATTCATGACGACCAGATGGAGGAGGATGAGGTTGATGAGTCAAGGACAATGCATGCTGCATCATCAGGAGCAGGAGATGGTCTAGAAGCATCATGTGCACCATCTTCACAGGATGGAGAGGTCCATAATACATCACACCTGCTGAATGGGGAGGAGCTACTAGCCTTCTTGAGAGAGGTTCATCATGGAAGGTCAAAGGTCATTGATGACATTCTGACCGTTGGCATGGTAGGTTGACGTGCAATTAGATTAGTTTCCAAGAATACATTTCAATTCAGTTAAAGCCCCTCTAAAGTTTTGGGAGCCCCTAATTCGCCAAAAATTTGATGGCACAATTTCACTTAAATTGTATCAGAATGTGAAAGAGGATGTCACTTAATCTGCAAAAAATTATAAGGAAGAAGAAGATTATTTGTTTTTATTCACATTGATTCAACTTCATCATTTTAATTACCAAATTTCTGTATGATAACAGGTTGGATACCCTAATGTAGGTAAGAGTTCTACCATCAATGCTCTACTCAGAGAAAAGAAGGTACCAGTCTCAGCTACTCCAGGAAGAACAAAACACTTTCAAGTAAGTTATAACGTGTCGGACTGTGTAATAATCTATGAGAACAGAGAGAAATCGATTCACTGAAAGTATTGCCTTGCTTTATCAACCATTTAAAGGTCGGGTGTTAAAGTGCTCTCTCAGTCAGAGAATCCCCCTCCACCACATACTGGCTATGGAGCGACAGAAACATCTGAAACTTGGCATATAGATAGAGCATATAGGTTCATGCGGTTCATATCTGTGCCTCAAACGGTGCTGAAATTATCACTAATTGATTATTCACATAAGTCTGCATTGTATATTATACATAAACTGATAAATTTTCATTTTAGCAGCATGCATCACATTGATTTTGTTTTTTTGATTTTTTAAATTTTGTATTGAAAGATGCATAAAACTTGCAGCTGTAGTGTTATGATAGCTCATGATGCAAACAAGTTATTCTAGAAAATTAACACCTCCTTTCCCTCTCCACCAACCCGGTCCTTTCGGAGTTACAGCAGAAATCAACTCTGAATTTTAATTTGATTTCAATGCAACCAGATTAATGTTAGAAATGGGTTATTGAATTTGGGGATAGATCTTATACAAAAAAATATGTTCTTTTCTTACCTGCTTGCATAGACTCTGTTCGTAGAGCCGACGTTGTGCCTATGTGACTGTCCTGGACTGGTGATGCCTTCTTTCGTCTCTACTAAGGCTGATATGTACCTTAACGGCATACTACCGATAGATCAGATGAGAGACTACAATCCACCAGTCTCTCTCATATCCTTTTTATCTATCTTTACTCTTAATTCCAATTTTTATGACTGTGTTTTAGTAGTAGTTATTGAGTAGTAGTAGTACATGTAGTAATAAAAATAATAGTAATAATAGTAATAATGAAGAAGGAAAAAAAGAAGAAGTAGACGAAGGAGGAGGAGGAGGAGGAGGAGTAGAAGAAGAAGGCAAAGAAGGTGAAGAAGTGGAAGAAGACCAATTACCATGAATTTCCAATTGTATTTAAAACACATTGAGCAATTTGTTATTGGATTTAGTGCCATATGAAAAGCAATTGTATTGCATTGTAATGTAAGAAGAAAAAGAAGAAAAAAAGGAAGAAGCTGTTGCTGTTGTTTCCATCTCTGTGTTTTGAAAAATAGTAAAAAACTCACTACACATAAAGATACATTTATAAGTACATCATAATGGAATAGATTGTAGTTCATATTTGAAATACAAGTGCAGTTTAAGATATATGATACATAATATAATATATTCATTTGTAAAGCGCAATAACTATGTAGATATATTAGATAGCTTAGACAGATACCGAGATGTGATTGGTCCAGAGCTCGTCACGTGATATCAATTGCGAGGATCCAAATTGTTATATTTTCCTGGCCGGTCACTTTTCAGTGTTATATTTTACCGGCTGGTGAAATGAATATATTTTTAATCAATGCATGTCGCCCTCTTGAGGACTGTATGTCACCAACTACATACATTACACCATTATCGAGGGCCATTTTATTTTTTCAATATTTTTTTTTCATGAATTTTTTTTTTTCCCAAGAAATTTTTTTTTCCACATTTTTTTTTTCCCCAAAAAATGCTTTTTTGGGTAAATTTTTTTTTTTAATAATTTTTTTTTGTTTCCCGAAAAATGCTGTTTTTTTTGCTAATGCTAATTTTTTTTTTTTTAACCCCAATTTTTTTTTTTTTTTTTTAAAGGTGATCTCGACAAATTTTTTCCGTAATTTTGATTGTCTCCGAAAAAAAAAAAAAAAAAATTCGGGCTAAAAAAAATATGGACCCCCCCCCCCCCCCCCACAAAAAAAAAAAACCCAAGGCTATCTAATATAACAGTTATTGACTGGCAGGGGTATATAACATTCTTTGGACCTGAAGGGAGTTATATTTTCCCTCGTGACCATATTTTCCCTCAGCGCTGCGCGCTTCGGGAAAATATAACCACTTGGGAAATATAACTCCCTTCAGCAGTCCAAATAATGTTATATTACACCCCCTGCCAGTCAATAACTGTATAATATTCTACTGCGCTGCAAGAGCTCGTAAATGCTGTGCTATACATACCACATAAACAAGTGAGTTTTCAGTCTTGATTTAAAATTGTCTAGTGATGGGGCTTTCCTTAGTTACAGTGGTAATCTATTCCATAATCTAGGGGCAGCACAAAGAAATGAACGGTCTTCAAGGGTTACTTTGGTTTTATACGATCAAATGTTACAGGAGTTCCTTGACGTAATTTGTGCACATGTGCCAGCGAGTGTCGAGGGAGGTTCTAGAGCTAACGTACGGGATGAACCTGATTAAACCAGGAGAAGGAGAGGATCCAGACAGACCACCAACTGCTCTAGAGTTCCTCAATGCTCATGCCTGTAAGTACACTCAAACCAGAAGATGAAGAAAAAGCGAAATTATAATACAAATGTTAATAATGATAATAATAAGAAGAAGAACATCAACAACATTAGTATTAATAACTTGTTCTTCTTTGCTGCATATCCCATTATGATGTGTTACTAATTTGGGTTTTACAGATATCTATCAAGCAGATATGATCATTTACGTCTGGGGACTGACCTTTAACTTCACCCTCCACTTCCAGGACTAGGGGCATTATTATCTTGGCTTTAGCTCTGATAGCCATTGCGCTCACTGCATTCAAGGAATAAATGATTTAGCTACCACCTGTATAGAAAGGCCACTTGTCTTTAAAGACTGCATTTCTTCGCCCTTTTATCTTGATTCTATTTGGAACCGTTTCTAAAGGAACCTGTATATGGCACATACTGAAAAGGAGCCAGAAGAGCTTTACACACCATCCTGACTCCAAATACACCATACTAACTTGAATTGAATTCATATTTATTTTATTTCAATATTTGGGGTTATTCTTTTTCTTTTTTATTTGGACAAAAGGTTGTCATAGATGCGATAATAAATAGAATTACGATTTCTTTTTTCTACTTTAGCATAATCAGTTATTGCCACTTTTTAGCAGTAAAGATATTTTGAGCATCATATTTTCAAACTTGTTGTTTATTGTTCAGATGTGCGTGGGTACATGACACAGAAAGGAGTGCCAGACAGCTTCAGATCTGCCAGGATCGTCTTGAAGGACTACGTCAAAGTAAGTCATCCTAAATAATACAGTTCCCTTTTTTCATCTTGATTTGTTGTGTTCATTTATTATTAACCAGTTTAAATAAACTAAAAATATACTTGAAATTTGCTTATGAAACAATTCTTAAAGCTTTATATCATCAAAAGTTTAAGGCTAGGACCTATTGTTAGTATTATAGTTGAAACAACAATTGAAACAACCAAAATTACTTCACAGCAATTCAGTTTAATAGCTTTGGTGCATTTTATGTTGTACAACTCGACTAATTGTCTTAAAAAAACCCTCTCATTTTCTGTTCTCTATAATTTACCAGGGCAAGGTTTTATACAGCATTCCTCCCCCGGATTTGAGCCCTGAAGAGTTTGGTTCAATGCACTTTCCATCAATGGAGGTCGGTGAGGTCAAAGCAGGGTCACGACCTAAGAAGTCGGCCAACAAACCTATGATCACTGCAGAAGGACAAACCGTAAGATACTCGCTGTACTCTGTTTTTAACATCTTTCTTTCCAGATTCCTTGATTATTTATAACTTTCAAATAGGTCTGATGTTAATGCTAAATACATTATTCATTGCGGATGTAGTATCGAAAAATAATATCGCTAGTGATATTTGTTTGTCTCGCAATATATGGTCAACAAACCGTAGAGTATAAAACATGCTTGCTTACATAAGATGTTATCACCTGACGAAGTGTAGCAGCGGCACACGAAAAGTCGTGATCCTTTAGATCCCTTTAACGCTTTAACGATTCTTTAACGCTTACCATACATATTTGACAAAATAAAGCCTGAAGCAAATGTTGCCATAGCAACAATCAGGAATACATGTACACATCAAGTTTCTTGATCAAGTACTGCTCTATCTCTCAGTCACACTGCCATACTAACTCAACACTAATTCTTGGCCATATAAGGTAAATGTAATTTTGTATGGTCTGGGGGGGGGGGGGGGTGTTTCACAAAGCCTTTTTTCAATGACAAATAACAAAAATCAGTGACAAATCTGCTGATAACCAATCAGAAGCAAGGATTTCATTAGCTTATTAAACAAATTGTCATTTGTCACTGATGACAAGTTTTGTGAAATGCACCCCTGATGTCCGTCTCATGTTTTTCACATTGGTGTGACTGGAATGTGACTTTCATGTAGATTTTGTAAACTGGACAATGTCCAATGTTTGTCATTTACATTTTGAATATGTGTTGGCTTCCTCAAAACTAATCCTCCCTTTCTTTCTTCTTTTCAGGTCAAGAGATCTGCTTCCAAGAAAGTGGACGACAGCTTCTTTTCCAAGCCTAGCGTTGCACACACCAAGGCGATGCCCCCTAGGGCGGCCATGGTTGGGGATGCGGCTGCAGCCGTGGCTGGGGTCAGATACTTGGGGAAACCTTGGAAGAAGCAGAAGAGAGGCAAGAAAGAGAAACTGAGGAAGGTGTACGGCCATCTAGATGAGAAATAAATTACAAACAGGTCGGACTTGATAAGAAATAGAATTCATGGATATTTGCCCGAAAGTGTTATCATTATTAAGTATATGGCGCCACCTATGCCTGGGAGGCAAAATACGAAACTGAATCGCCGTAACCCTCTGGTCTCTCCTCCCGTTATAACTGATTGGGGGTGCAGGTGGACCACTACACCAGGTTTCCCCCTAACTCTTATACAAATAAAGCAGTAGGTTTTTAACACGTAAAGGTGGTGATTCTCCTCCATGAGACCTGTATTCAACATCCTATCTGAGGGGCAGTGTCTACACTGTGATTCTTTTTTAATTCTCAAATGAATGTTTATCATTATCAGCTGGAATGGACATGTGACTTTAGGGATATTTTAACTTTAAGTTTATCATGAAATTGTAATCAAAAACATATTACATTGTAGTTATATTGTACATTTCAAACCATGCAACACATAAATTACAATATGTATTATATGTATCCTTTTATCTGTCTTTTGATTACAAATTTGGGGTTTAAATAAGATAGATCGAATTGTTCTGTTCAATCTACATTCAATCTGTTGTAAGTCTCTCCTGTGTGACACTGAAACCAGAGACAAAATAATTGCTTTAAATACGTCTGCATCGTAACTTGAATGGATGCAAATCATATTGTACATTTACAAACAGATTTGGTTTTATGATGCCTCATTAAATACCAACTCGTAATTCAAAACGAAGTATAAGGAAAATGATAATAGATGATTATACTCCAGTGTACAGTCTAACAATTAACTTTTCTTTGTACAACGTGATGCCTTCCTGCACCAATGTATGTTTTCCTCTGTTTACTCTGTCTTCTTTAAATTGGCAACAACTATATACATTTTTTGCTTGCATTGTTCAAATATAATACCAAGACTCAGGCAACAGTATGCATTGTTTTGAGCTATGTTGAAAAGTTTTAATAACAAGAATTTTCTTTTAAAAAATCACTTACTTTACAGTCTTTTGCCAATTTTAAGAATTTAAAGCTTATTTTCCTTTTAAAAATACCTGGCATCAAATACAATGTAGCCATGCAAGTAAATGGATACAATATGTGCAGTATTGTGTGCCCTTTCTTTTTATGTATCTGGGGGGTGTTTCACAAAGATCCTAAGTAGAACTTAACTCTAAGTTGGACTTAAAAATTATGGAAAGCCATTAGCATCTTTGAAATATTTGGTAAAAATATTTTTGAAAGGCATAAAATGTTTATTCAAATCATTCATATTTTCTATCATTAAGGAGATTTCATATTCTTGTTGTGGAATTTAATTTTTTTTATATTACTTGAATTTCTGCTTTTGAGTATATTTCATTTTAAGGCTCCAATGGCTGTCCATAATTTTTAAGTCAAACTTAGTGTTAAGTTCTACTTAGGATCTTTGTGAAATACCCCCCTGGTATGCTATTTAGGGCTCTGAATCAAAGGTTATTGAGCCAAACCACAAAATATGGAATGCCTGTTTTGAAAGGGTTATGTCCTGGGCCACGTTTCACAAAGCTTTCTTTCAATGACAAAAATCAGTGACAAATCTGCTGATAACCAATCACTAGCAAGGATGTCACTAGCTTATGACAACAACTGTCATTTGTCACTGATGAAAAGTTTTGTGAAATTGGGCCCTGATGTATGTTTGTTTTCCTATGTTTACCCTGTTATAGGGCAAGTCCAAAGTATTTGGTCATTTGGTGTCCCTTACAAACATTAATTACAATTCATTGTTTCATTTTAATTCATTTGAAGCTCTTGTAGGGCTACCAGCTGAATACATTGATGAGATATGTGTATATTAATACATTCATGAGATTTATTGAAATCTTAAATGTAATTTGTAACATATCTGACAAAATAACTCGAGTACAATGACTATCAAGCATTTTACTATATACAATTAGCAACACCATCAATCATTGATTAAATATAGTGAAATTACCTAAAATCCTGAAAGATATTTTGATGGATAATGTTTACTTAAACGTTCCTTTGTTCCATTATTATTATTATCATTATTGTTATTATTTTTATTATTGCAATCTTAGAAAGTGGGTGAGAGAGAGAGAGGGTAGGAGGCAGCGCTCAAAATACACGGGGGCGATGGGCGATTCGCCCCCGTGAGCTCCATAATCGCCCCCGTCAGGTTGCTCATGGGGGCGATTGAAAAATTAAAAATCGCCCCCGTGGAATTATAAAATTAAGATTGTCTTTTCTGATATAACTTTAACACAATATTGAGTATCAATTTTCAAACCTTAAACCAATGAAATGGAACTTAGATGGCGCTTTCTCTCCCATCTTTATGAGTATTACCGATACAAACAATGGAAGCTCGCAGTGCAGCTAGTGCGGCCCTCAGCAGTGGCTATACTGCGCCGGTAGTATCTGTGTGCGCGCTGACGCCCAATATCTGCTGGAGCTGGAGACGATCGCGCAAGGACTGAAACATGGAGAAGTTTTTCGTTGTGAAAAGTGTGAATCCTCTGGAATCTGGTTATTCTAACAGGCCAGCAAATAATGTAACTCCACCAGTAAATCAATATTGAGAAGAAGATCACCAAAGATGTTGCAGGGGCGGATCTAGGCGGTTTAGGGTGTTTAACCCCCCCCCCCCCCTTTGGCTGCCAAGTGAAAATGTGATGTGCATAGAAAATGCTATCATGTGTTCAGACCTACACAGTATTAGTAGATGTTAGTATAGTAGATGCCAGGAAAACATCTTTTACAGGGGTTCAAAATAGCAACAACGAAAATCGCCTCGCCACTACGCAGCTCGTGGACGATGCTCCACATCGTATTTGGGTTACCCCCCCCCGCCCCCCCCCCCCCACCCCCCCCCCCACCCTTAGCAAAAAGATCCGCCTCTGTGTTTTGGAAGGATATGGTAAAGACTAAAAGTAAAGAAAGAATGTAAATAAGGTTGCTCTGAATAATTAATAAGTAAATTCTAAGAGGGAAATTGTCGACTTAAATAAATGATAATAATAATAATACTGTGAATATCATAATTTTCATTATCATTTACATTTACATTTACATCAAATGAAAGAAGAGGATCTAAGCTTTCCAAATATGTGTCATTTATTAATTATAAATGTAATATAAAACATCGATAATTCTCGGTTTCGTTTTTTCGGGGACGCACTGTATAGTAACATGTAGACAGAAATCATACACTGCGAATTCGTTGTGACTTTACACAGCATTGAGCTGTGGTTCACTCCTTACACAGGTGTTGTGTTAAGTTGTGTGAATAAAAATTACACGACTTTACACTGCAAATTCGTTGTGTTAAGTTATGTAATGTTTTATTACACAACCCGTGTTTAAGGAGTGAACCATCCAATGTCGTTACACAACGAATTTGCAGTGCACACACATGTAAATCTGAGATTGTTCATTAATATTATGTTATTAAATACAGTTTGCAGAATCATCAAATAACTATATTTAGCATTTACAGTCTATAAAAAGTGGTTCCATAAATTGATATCTCTGTGTTTGGATCAAGCAAAAAAAATGCGTTTCCGGAAGCGAGAAAAAAAATATGGAAAGAGGGGAAGGTCGAAATCTGTTTATGTGCAATACTTTTAGTGCACCACGAGGACAACTATATTATGTCAAAGTCATGTTAATCCAGATAAGGTTATTCGAGGAATAAACTTTCAGATTCATATTTAAATCCCAATAAATAATATGTAGTCAAAATTAGATATAGTAAGGTACAATCGACATGTCTACGGGTGCTTCCACTAAACGACATGACTTGAAAAAATAATATGAATGGATATATATGTAATGTTATAGATTAATCAGAGTAAATTATAAGTTATTACCATGGAAATATGTAGTTTGTTCTCTTCCTACTTGTATATCTTCTCTCTTCTCTCTCCCTTTCCCCTTTCCCAATCTTTCGTAAGTACATCTATATTTACGTAAGATAATAATGATAATCAGAGTGAAAAAGTTAAAGGTACATGTTGTTGTTTACCAAAAGATCCCTTTCCCTATATAAGACCGATTACATGCTATTTGCTAGATTCCATCTCTCACACGGGTACATGCTAATTTGGAAGTCCTAGTTTATGGCCCATATATGGTTCCAATTAATATTCTTGAAATGTGTTATGGAAGTATGAACACAATCGACTTAAAAGTATAGTTTTATTTGATGTTTTGTCTGACCCAAACGCTTTTGGGAACAAAATAGCAAAGACTTTTGAAAAAGGCAATTCCAATGGCCTAGCCCTCACCTATTGACATTTTCGAGCATTACAATTATTATTTATTTATTAATTATACCTATTATTTTAAGCTAACAAATAGCATGCCCCACATCACAGGTGATGTCAAGTCCAAGTAATCTTGTCCCATACAATGTTACCGACCATGCACATCAACGTTTCTGTTTATTTGATGACTGTATGAAGTCTACAGCCCTAAACATGATCGCAAAGGACTTTCGAGAATTCAACTCAAGGGCAATTTCAATACCCTATTGTAAATTCCATAGGAATCATGTTCAGATTACGTAATACATCATTGTAATGCTCGAAAATGTCAATAGGTGAAGACTAGGCCATTGGAATTGCCTTTTTCGAAAGTCTTTGCTATTTTGTTCCCAAAAGCGTTTGGGTCAGACAAAACATCAAATAAAACTATACTTTTAAGTCGATTGTGTTCATACTTCCATAACACATTTCAAGAATATTAATTGGAACCATAATGGGCCATAAACTAGGACTTCCAAATTCTTTCACATGATTGGTAATGAGAGCTTCCATTTCATTTTTTGAAATTGGGGCGTTTCCAATACTGGTCTTTACCTTAAAAGTTAAGAAAAGTAACGACAAATTAAAAGACAGCTTTTAACATTGCCTTGTGATGTAAACAACTTTCACTTCGTGTTTGTGACTTGAAAACAAAACCTTAGGCTTTGATTTTTTTTTTCAGAAATTAAACCGATTATGACATTTCTATAGATGTTGACGATTTTTCTTTGAAAATGTTATATTTATATAAAGTTGACAGCGTAAGACGCAATGTGTAAGTTCGTATAGCTTTAGATTGGATTTTTTGTTTCGTTACACTCTCTGGTTAAATACATAAATCCATAGACTTATAAAGAAACAAACAAGTTTCAGAACAATAAACCAATCGTCACAATCACTTATCTTTATCTTACATAGACACTGTGTACGTATGTTATACAGAAACAAGACCATGTTTAACTGGGTCAATATCGCTATTCATAAGGACCGCTATTCATAAGGACCGCTTTTCACAATTGGAGAAAATGGTCATTATTCATAAGGGTCGTTGTTCATAAGGACCGCTAATCATAATCAAAGAAGAGGGTCGGTATTCATAATATTAGAAGAGGGTCGCTATTCATGATACGAAATCAGGGTCGTTATTCATAAGTGTCCCTATTCATAATATTACAAAAGGGTCGTTATTCATAATACAGAAAGAGGGTCGCTATTCATAATGCAAAATGAGGGTCGCTATTCATGATACGAAATGAGGGTCGCTATTCATAATGGAAAATGAGGGTCGCTATTCATAATACGAAATGAGGGTCGCTATTCATAATGCAAAATGAGGGTCGCTATTCATAAGGGTCATTATTCATAAGGGTCATTATTCATAATCGATGAAGAGGGTCGCTATTCATAATAGGAGAAGAGGGTCGCTATTCATAATAGGATTAGAGGGTCGCTATTCATAATAGAAAAAAAGGGTTGCTATTCATAATAGGAGAAGAGGGTCGCTATTCATAATAGTAGAAGAGGGTCGCTATTTATAATAGGAGAAGAGGGTCGCTATTCATAATAGGAGTAGAGGGTTGCTATTCATAATACGAAATGAGGGTCGCTATTCATAATAGGAGAAGAGGGTCGCTATTCATAATAGGAGAAGAGGGTCGCTATTCATAATACGAAATGAGGGTCGCTATTCATAATAGGAAAAGAGGGTCGCTATTCATAATACGAAATGAGGGTCGCTATTCATAATAGGAGAAGAGGGTCGCTACTCATAATACGAAATGAGGTTCGCTATTCATAATAGGAGAAGAGGGTCGATATTCATAATAGGAGAAGAAGGTCGCTATTCATAATACGAAATGAGGTTCGCTATTCATAATAGGAGAAGAGGGTCGCTATTCATAATAGGAGAAGAGCTATTCATAATAGGAGTAGAGGGTTGCTATTCATAATACGAAATGAGGGTCGCTATTCATAATAGGGTCACTATTCATAATAGGAGTAGAGGGTCGCTATTCATAATACGGGATGAGGGTTTTTATTCATAAAATGAAATAGGCCTAAGCAATATCCAAAATGCTCATAACAAATGAAAATATTGGACGGAGGACACCCCCAATGCGATACATGGCTCTAAATATTTGTCTTGTTTTTAAGTAGGTTTGAAATTTGATATCCAATGTTGTAAAACATAATTGAGAATTTAAATCAATAACATTTGAATCATGAAACATCCTCAAGCTCACCTCCCCTTTCATCCTCCCCCCCCCCCCCACACCCGCCGCCTTCGCCTTTATGATGACGACTCGGATATTCAGGTAGCGGACCTTAATATTTATTTTCGGGGGGGGGGGAGAGGCTGTTCGCACAAGGGGGACAAATTACGATAGGATTATGTGTGTGTTATGTTTCCCTTTTTTGTCACCACTGGAGCGGGGGAAATATTTTAGCTAGATTAGGGGGATGTATTTTTATATAATTATCAAAGCTTAAAAGAAAATATAGGCCTACTTTAAAAAAAAGACATAATTTAGGGGACGCCACCGTTTGCATAATGCTTTACGGTCGCAAAATCGTATCTTATTTGACTTTAAATCTTGAAAATCTTACTTCCTTACTTATGAGGAGAAAAACAAAATCGTGCAATATTATATATTTACGAAAAACTTGAATATTGTATATAATCTAACTCTCTACAACCAGGGGCGTCGCTAAGGGGGGTGTGGGGTGCG